TCTCTCTCTCTCTCTCTCTCTCTCTCTCTCTCTCTCTCTCTCTCTCTCTCTGGAATCGAGCTAAATAGGGATCAGCTACTGACTGATCCGGAGTTAGTAGGACGATTTTTTAAAAATCGGCTGATCTTTTAAAGACTCTTTCCATAACATTCCAAAAACCTTGGTAGAAAATGAAAAAATAAAAAAGAATAAAAAGAAAGGAAAAAGAGAAGAACCAAGCACATACAAGACGACGGTGTAGTGTTTCATTGAACATAAGGCAGCCAAAATTTTTACATGCAATTAAAAAAAACAAAATGTCTCATTTCCAACATTATCATGCACTTAAAAAAACGTAATTAAAAAAAATCGAGCAACTTTATCATTCACTTATCAAAAAGAAGAATCAATTTTACCAAAAAAACAATTTTATGAAAAAGAATAATTTTATTAAGAAAAATAGAAGAACACTTCCCATATTTATCAAAAAACATAATTTTATTAAAAAATCATAATTATATTAAAAATAATTTTATTAAGCAAACTAGAAAAACACTTCCCATAAATATAATTTTATTGAACAAATAATTTTTTTTAGAAAAATTGATTTTTCAAAAACCCCAAAAATCAAGCAACATTTCGAACAAGAAACGATCCTCAATTTTTGGATAATCGAGCAATGAACATACATGCATTGTAAAGGCTTCGATCATCTTTCAAACGCACAAGATCTCATAAAAAAAATTTGGTATTTTTAATTTAATTGAAACAAGGTGGAAATTTATGATCTATGAAATTTTTATGGTATGGTGCAATGAAAAAAATCGTATAAAAACATTTAATCAATCATAAATAGATATACCTAATTTATTTGAGAGATCAAGCATTGATCAAAAAAATCCACAACTCAATTTAATAAAAAACGACCAATAAATAGATTAAAAATCTTTGTTTTTCGATCGAATACAGGTTCTTTGAGCAGCAACAATTCGGGCCAAAATCCACCCATAATATATGGTTGTTTGAACAAATTGAAACATAAATCTTATGACTAATTCAATAATCTATCAAAACCACCAAATTTCTTCAAGAACCATTAGGTATTGAAGAAACCATTGAAAGAATGGAGGAAATTTACAAAAACCTAAAAAATCCGCCATTTCGATCCAAGAAACTCTTTTTTTTTTCGATGTTTCAATCAAAATTTCTTGTTTTATAGATTATAGATAGTGATTTATAGCAATAAATCACCAAAAGGACAAAAACAAAGGCATGAAAACGGATAAAATAAAGTTTAAATTTTGATTCAAGAATGCCTACTACAAACAATGGCCTCGATTTCAAAATAACGGCTGTAACGGGTACATTACTGTAATTTTATAAAAAACTGCCGTTATATCGTTTAACCAGTCCGGTTAGCATAAAACCAGTCGGTTTCATTTAAAAATTGCCGTTTCGGCTTCTAACCGGCCGGTTTTGGGCCGAAAACTTTTCGGGAGTATACCCTAGGCTACTAGTACCCCTAAACCAGCTAACCGGAGTCAGAACCATTACGGTTCCGATCTAACAGGCTGGTTGGGGTTCAAACTGACCAGTTTTGCAAACAATGGTGGAGTGAGAGAGAGGGTAGAGAGGGAGGAAAAGAAAGAGAGGGAGAGAGATTTAAAGAGAGATAAAGAAAGAGATTAGGAAAGATACTTAAAGAGAGAGGGATGAGTGAGAGTGAGTAAGGAAATTTGAGACGTAAGTAATTACAGTTATTTATTTTATGGAAAGAGATTGTTGGAGAGAGTCAAGGAAGTGGGAACATTTGGCTTGAAAAGAAAAATAACCGGTTACACCGTTTTGGCGATATTGTTAGAGAGATTTAAGAGGTTGTAACCTTGTAAACGGTTTTAGAAAAAGACAAAAATAAGGAGAGGAGACATTGTTGGAGAGATTGAAAGAGGTTGCAACCTTGTAGACGTTTTTAGAAAATGAGGAAATAGGGAGAGGGATAGTAGGTCCATGTGATTGGGTGCGCATCGTTCTCAATGAAATAGAACGTCTCTCTTGGCGCATCAAAATGAGAGTTCATTCCATTGTGGGTTCATCTGTTGTTTCAAGTGAGATAAAGCTCTCTCTCGACTAATATTGACTGTTGTTTCAAGCGAGACAAAGCTCTTTCCCTCTAGATCAAGATCGTGGTCTTGCGTGCACAAGTGCGTGCTCGGTACGAACATTAGAGGGTAATTTGGTGACGCCAGTGTTTGTGAAAATGTTCTTTTTATAGAGAACTATTTGAATTGTAACTCTCACTTTTATGATCTATAGGAGTTGAGATCCAAATATAACTCCAGCTTTATTTCTATTTAAATGTATTTTGTATATCCATAATGTAAAATCAAATTCTTTCAAAAAATCCAAAGAAACCAATGGGTTTATCGAAAAATAAACTCCTCATAAAAAAAATGGAGGGCCACGTTTCCAACATGCATCAACATCTCTCTTAATCTTATAAAGACCTAACCCTTTTAAGCATTAACAACTGTCTTTTATGTAATGGACCTCGCCCCTTCTAAGCAACAACACCTATTGACCATGAGTACCGTGGAACCAGATGAAGAAGCCCAACAAGACCTAAGAATTTACAATTCAACAGGCACCACCTTCTCCAAGACTTGCTTCAACTTGCTCAATTCTTTATTCCGGTATTTCTCTCTCTATATATATCTCTCTCTCCCCCCCTCTATCTCTCTCTCTTCATGAGTGTGTGCGAGTAGTCTGTTCTCTTAGGCTATAAAGTGCTTAATCTCTCTAACGCTTTCCTCTTTAAGGTTTGCAAAGAGAAATAAGTCCAGTAATAATGGCTTACAGTCCCTGTTCTCTTTTTCTTGCCTCTATTTCAATTGCATGCATAGAAATGTTCTCTTTCTCTCTGTGTTTTTGGGATTAAAGCTGATTTTGAATGCATCTCATGGAATGTTTATGTTTCTACGAATTACTGATTCAAATATCACCTATCCGAATCGGAAATCACTCGAGTTTGATAGAGTGAGGAGGGTGGCCATTCATGGCCAAGAACCCTTAAACATCCTAGTCTTCTGATTTTCTAGTATTTCTTAAATTCTTATGTTAGCTATTTCTTGTTTCGACATCATATTCACTCAAGTCGGACCCGATGAACAAAATTTAACAATGCAAATTGGAACCCGATTCCGATTCGTAGTGAACTGCTTTGTGCAGATTACTAAAATGCCAAGGGTGGCCAACGAAAACCCATTGTTTCAATTGTACAATTCTATGAAAACATAAAATTTTGTTATGTATTGAAAAAATTACAATAGGATACACTACAGGAAGAAGTGGAAACGTCAAATTAACTTCATTCAATTGATCATTCATCATGTCCATATGGAGACACAACAACGTATGTTTTTTTAGGTAATCAGTGTGGTATCATTGTTATTTTTATCTGAAATTTTTGGATCCATATAAGAATCACTATATGATTATTTTTTAAAAATGATAAATGAATTGTGAGTGTTGAAACACTTATATCATGCCCTCCAAAGATTGGGCTAGCCCTGTCTAATACTTTTGGAATTAATTATTTATACAAGTTATGTAGGAAATTTATGTAGTGCTAGCCTGGTTTTTCTAGTGTGCTCCTTCCAGAACTCCTGATGCCTACAACGCATGGTTGCAAGAGAAAATTCTTTTTAATGGCCATAGGAAGGGCACCTCTAAACCATTCCATGTTAAAACCTCTGTGAGTTGCTAACAAACAGTAAGATATTAAAAAAATAGCACAAATTGGTAGGATAAAAAAATCTAATGTTTAGAAACCTGGCTGGGCTTGTGCTCAGGCCTCAGGCATGCCCGAGTTGAGTAGCTCGGGCAAGTTCAAGTGGACTCGTCTTTTCCTGCATTCCAAAAAATGCAAAAAACTTATTAAAAATATTTAAAAATCAGTAAAAAGCGAAAGAAGTTACACACACCATTAAAGGTCCTTAACAGAAAGAAGTATATAGCAACAAGATTACAAAAAATTGATTTATAGCTTGAAAGAGTTCAGAAAAATCCAAAGAAAATAAAAATTAGAGTATATAAAAAGAAAATTTCATAAATGAACATAAAAAACAAAAAACGTTATATAGGAACATAATTACATAACATTTATTAGATTTTCTAGTAATTTTTTATTTTTCTAAGTAATTTTAACAAATCCAAGTTTGTTTAAGAACACCTTGGCAGGGGCCCAATTACTATCTCAGCCAAAAATATTTGGAGAGTAGTTTGCATCACTTGTCAAATCCCACCCTAACCTGCCCAAGAAAAGTCTGTTGGATTTTGTTTTCTACTTTGTAGACAAGTGCTTTTCCATTACTTTATTCCCCACTGCACCCCACCCATCAGATATCAATAAGGGCGTTTGGGGAGCATTCGTCCATCAAAGTTAGTCAAAAGCGTATACAAATCATCCTTATCTCATGTCATCCAATGATTTTGCCTTCATAGTATTTTGTGTGGACACATCTTTGCCTAGCAAAACTCTTACTTAAGGTTGGCAAGGGGATCGGGTCAACCCAATGGATCAAGCCGACCTGAGACCGGATAGGTTGTACCTAGCAGGTTGGACTCGGGTGTAGACACATGAGTGAAAAGCCATAGTGATCTTGTTTATGGGCCTAAGGACAAAAATTCTATGGTTGAGAGAGTGTATCAATATATTAATGGGTTATGTGAGGGTGCTCACATTACAAAGCATTTTATAATTACACTTAACAAATTTTGGACACTTGTACACCCACTTAACAAATTTTGGACACTTGTACACCCCTGTTTTGTTAATAGATCATTTTTTTTAGCAAGGACAATTTTTATCATTAGGAGGGATGTGACATCAGGGGGTGTGACATTACCTACATGGAGTATACAAATGACATTAATGTTCCATGCGGGTGATATCACAACCCTAGGTAGATCATTTCACATCCTTCTTAATGACCAAAAATATCTTTACTAGAAGTTCTATGTATAAATCCGGAGTATATAAATATTCAAAATTTGTTGAGTACAATGATAGATTACTTGATAGTGTGAGCTCTTCCCAGTCTCGAGTCCCTAATTCCAAATATATATTTTTTATTGGGTAATATATCAACCTAATATATATATAAAATAAATTTTATTTTTTATTGGACCCAAACCCGTATTGGCAGGTTTGGGTCCAATGACTTGGACCCTACGTGGTTATGGGTTGAGTCTGGTTCCAACTAAGACCCCAACAAGAACGACCTCTATCCACCCCTACTCTCTCTCTCTCTCTATCTCTCTCTTAATTTCTCACTCTCTCTCCCTCTCCTAATTTTTCACTTTTTGGGGTCCATAGGAGTTGGAATCATAGTAATTCCACATGCATTATCACAAGGTGGCTAGGCATGGTTTGGACATCTTGTGCAATTAGCTATCATCTTCTATTACACAGGCCTACTCCTTCAACGTTGCATGAGCATGGACCCTCACATAAAATGTTACCCAGACAGAGACCATCTTGCCTTTGGCCCCAAAGGCAAAATCTTCATTTCTACATTTATCTATCTTCGACTATTCTTATTTGATATAGGTTTCTCGATATTAGTAGGTGACAGTTTAGCTAGACTGCTCCCTAACTTTGGCTACAAAATTGGGGGTTGGAGAATAGAAGGAAGCAAGGCATTTGTTATTTTATCAGCCATGGTTGTTCTCCCTACTACTTGGCAAAAAACCTTGGGGAGATTGGTCTATGTCTCAGCAACTGGTGCTTTGCTTGCGTGGTTGTGATGGGTGCAGTTATATGGGTTGGTCTATTTGGTGGGGTTGGGTTTCATGAGAAAGGAAGCCCTCTAAATTTAAGTGGCATACCAATGGCAGTTAGCACTTATGCTTTGTGTTTCAATGGGCATGGTGTTCTCTCTACCATCATTGGGTCAATGAAAGATAGGAGCAAGGGTTCAAAGGTATGTATATGAATTTTATCTTGAAATCCAGTATCAACACCTTGAATATAAGGGTGGCAACAGCCCTTGTTGATGGGCTCGAGCCAGGTTGGTTTCAGTGGGTATTATTTATCTGTTTTTTAATTTATTATGAAAACTAAAGAAATGGTAGTGCCAGGTTGGGATAGACGAGCCAAGACCCCTTTCCTGGGCCCAGCCCGGCCCAAACACCATGCTTAGATTTTAGTGCAGGGCCTTGGCAGTCTACTAAACTTAGTGGCCCAGGTACAGGTTGTTATGGCCCATACCACCCAACCCACTTCCACCCCTATAAATAAGAGGGGGTCGAGCTAACTTTGAAAACAAGTTGAAATGGAAAGCATTCTATTATGAACATATCATATACTATTAGATTGTTATGTATGATACATGTTGTCTCTATCATCATCCATAGTCAAGAATAGATTGTTATGTATGATACATGTTGTCTCTACCATCATCCATACTCAAGAATAGATGGTCAAGATGAACTCTTCTTCTGCTCCTGTCTGCCATAGTCCACTCATGCAGAAAATGGCTTATCTCTAGCATCTATTGTGATGTACAATTCTTATTGAAGAAAGATTTACAAACCTTTGTTGTTTCTCCTGAAGTCCATTTCAGTAGTGGCTCTCATGGTCGCCACAATGAGGTTTCGTGTTCGAAACCATCCTACCACAGTCCATGATATAAGTTAACTGGATTTCCGAAGCTCCTAACCCATGACCTTTTTTGTTCTTTGGTTGCAGGTACTGACCTTTTCCTTCATCACTTGTGCCGTGGCTTATGCACTGATGTCGATACTTAGTTACCTAATGTTTGGGGACCAAATAAAATCATAAATTACGCTAAATCTCCCTGTTATAAATTTTAGCTCCAAGATTGCAATTTATGTTGTTGTTATACTTCCATTATCAAAATATGCACTAGTCATGGCTCCTGTCGCAGCTGCTATCGAAGAGATATTTCCTCTTTGCAAGAAGTGTGGGGTGAGTCTATCATTGACGATGATGATGGTGGCTATCAAAGTCATAGTTGCTCTAATATTTCCATTTTTTGGGTCCATGATGGCATTTATCGGATCATTTCTTGGTAGCACTACTACTCTAATTCTACCATGTATTTGCTACCTGAAGATCTTTGAGGGCATAAAGAGTTGCAGAGTTGAGATCGTTATAGTGATGGGGATTTTGATGATAGGTTTTTGGATTGCACGTCTTGAGAATTATTTCAATGTCAAGCGCATTGTGCAGCAAATGTAAATTCTTGATGAGATAATTCATGTGATCTTGATAATTTCTAGAGTAAATTAAAAGTTGTCTTTTCAGCATAAACAAAATTGAAGTTAGAATCAGTGTTCGCAAACTCATCTGGTTCAACTTAGAGCCGGCCGATCAAACTGGAACCGGGCTCTAGCCGATGTGGTTTTGGCCAGTTTTAGTGGTCCAGCCGGGTATTTAAGAAATAAAAATTAAAAATTATTATAAAATCTTAAAACATAAGAGATTTGTTTGTAATGCATTTTTATCATTTTGGCAAAGATTGGAAAGTGTTTTGGCCATGAATACTTTATACATTTTCTCATCTTTTTGAAAAATTTTAAAAATATCCCTTGGGCAGAACTCGATTATTTGAAATCCATTCTTTTCACTAATTTTCAACTTTATTTGGATGTACTTTGTTTAATTATGTTTTAAGTATTATTCATATTGTTTTGTTTTTTTTTTTTTAATACTTTTTGACCATCCTGGACCTGCTCGATTAGTTTGGCTGAACTGGTCGATTTACCGGTTACTCAGAATCGGCTTAGGCGAGTTTCTTAGGCCAATTCGATATTTCGAGCACTGGTTAGCATCATGTATGAATTCATTTAGCCTTGCGTGTTTCCTAAACCTATTTTACCCCGACACTCAATTCCTACTTCTGCTCAAAGAGTAAGAGGAGTTAGTTGAATACATTCTATGTGTACAACACTTTAGCATCTGATTATTTCTCTAAGAGGGCGATACTTCAAAGTTTTGATGCATGATAATAATGTATTTCTCATCCTGAGTTGAAACCCTTCATTTTTGTTTTTCTTCTCATAGTGGGTTTGACTGGGCGAGTGGACCATGTTTTGGAGAAATCTATTTCCAACCTAATTATAAAGGAAAATTGTTTCATGACGATTGGATCGCATGATTACATATGCGGTCCAAAAAGTGTAAAGCATCCATCTTAAAGATGGATGCAAGTAGGTGTTTTAGCTAGAAATAGAGGAAGCTAACAGTCCAAAAAAAATTTTACTAAAATTATTATTTTTAGTTTTAAAAATTTAGTAAAATTATTATTTTTAGTTTTAAAAATTTACTTATTTTTTCATATTCATGCTCTCCATGTTAGAGATAAAAAGTCCTATAAATTACGTGCAAAAATCCATCTAAAAATAGATTTATTAATAAGTCCACATTTCTACATATGCTTGCTTGGCCGCATAGAAATCGGGTCCAGTTATAAACTTTGTAGTTTTACATATGGTACACATCTAGTAGATCTATAACACTAGAAAATCTTCAAAATATGTTGTCCGCATAATGTTTTATAACATGTAATACTTGGAGGATTTGAAATCTATTTTTTTGTATTCATACATCTTGAGGAAAAAGTTACATATATAAGGAAAAAGTATTCACCACAAAATAGACCTTATCATATATAGAGAGAGAGGGTGGATAATGGACGTTGGGTGTGAGTTTTCCATGGGGTTTTTATTTTATTCGCGCACTAACCGTCAATACGCTGGGGATTAATTTTTGTTGTCATTTCCTGTGCGAGTATACTACTTATTTACTCTCTTGGGAAAAATTTACTTTAGAGTCTGATGTGATCTCTAGAATCCGGCAAACAACCTTAAAGAAAACAAAATTTCAAATCTCTCTATGTGCCTAATTTTTTCTTTAAAAATAGATCCTAAAACTTCTAATCACAAAAAATCCCCCAAATTGGTGATTTCGCCGATGGAGTAAATGTATAGCATAATACACACATTCCCTTTTTTTTTTTGGCTCTGTGTGAGGAAATGCGGAAGGAAAACAATGTTTCAGAAAAAAGGGGCATGGATAAAAAGTTATTCAAAAAATAATTTTTTCAGTCTCAAAATTTGTATCCAAATGATAGAAATGAGCAATAACGACCCTAAGTGTTGGGCAAAGTTCTCCAAAAAAAGGGAAATTCAAATGTGGTCAGGCACATAAAGTTCCGGATCTTAAATTTGAGAAATAATAAAAAATTAATAAAACAAGGGAGCCCCGGCAAAGTATGAAAAAATGAAGATTATGTTTCAATTCCAATTTTACATTAATCAGCTTTTTAAATGAAAAATAAAAAAAATGTTAGCATAACTTTTTTTTTTCTTCTTTTGGGTAATTGAGTGAGAAAGAGAGGCCCTTAAAAGTTAGTTTTTTGAAGATATTAGTAGGGGTGGTGTAAGTGGAAATGAAAATCACATTAGAATTTGGGGCTGCTACCACGACCCCACCCCTTTCCCAAGGTTAAGGTAACTTGCCCCTTGATGCTTGATTCCCGGTCTAATTTATAGGGGCAGCGTGCTTCATCATTATGAGAATAGCGAATTTGTGTAAAGAAATGTCTAAATATCTTTTTACGATCTTATTTTCAATTGTAAAAATTTCTATATGGACATAGAGACCGATATACGTGTCGGTGTCAGTATCCACGTATCACTACCTCCATCACATATCTGCACACGTTTGGCTTTTGTATCAGCAAAACACAACATTTCAACTTTTTCAAACTTGTCTAGCAGATCTGAAAACATTAGACATTATTTCGGTCTGGCATATTCATTTTCAGTCAAGCATTATTTGTTGGGTTTTTTTATTAAAAAAAGGTTAGCATGAGCTTTTTCATTCCATTGCAAGAATGATGTACATGTGTGTTATTATACAAAATTGTCAATTGTATCTGTATAAGGAAAGTTCGAATATATTGGCTACCAAAGGGTTTTTTACTGCACCTGCCTTAATAATTTTTAAAAATATGATTTATAAAAATATTAAAAAGTAAAATACACAAATTATTTTATTTTTATTTTTTTTAATTAATGATTTTTAAAATATCTTTTTTATAGCACCATGTGCTCAAACGGGTCTGTAATGGCTGCTTCATTGGGCTGACTAGAATTGGTTTGACCACCCAAGCCCTAATTTATTTATTTAGTATTATTAATATTTTTAATTATGATTGAAACATTGGTTCTTATATAGCATGGAAATGAAGAGTTATTTGTCGTGTTTTGAAGCCTTCATCGGTGGGGCAAATTGTTCTCCCACAGATCCGTGATCCAGGATCAAGTTTGGATTAGTCAAATTTCAGATCCAAAAAATTATTAAAAATAAAAGAAATAAAATAACTATCAAGATAGGGGTTTGATGGTGAGGAATTAGAGGAGACCTAAGAAAATTAGATTAGCTTAAAGAAGAAAACAAAAAATATTTGTATGGATTTTAGGAGAACTAGATTGGAGATAGGGGTTTATATGGTGAGCAATTAGAGGGGACCTAAAAAAATATTAGATGAGCGTAAAAAAAAAAAAACAAAAAATATTTACATGGGAATTAAAAAAAACAAAAAATACTATCTCATAACCAAATTCAACTTCCATCAGAATTGATTATCCCAACCGAAAATAATCTGTTTTTGAATCACTTAATTGCATTCTTGCCATAATTAAAAGTTGGAAAATTTTTATATAGAGCCGAGGCTCTAAATGATTAAATTAGAGCGCACGTGTAAAATATCATTAGAAGAGATTGTTTTGATGCTCAAATGTCATTAAATTGATCATCTCAACATCAAGAAGCATGGACCTAAGAAAAAAATGGATTTCAAGTTTTAAAAACAATAGATCTTGTAATGCATTTTTTGACCGTTAATATTAAAAAAATTTGAATTTTAAATTTTCATAGATATGCTCGATCTACACTATTTTTAAAATTTTAAATTTTATAATTAGAGATAAAAATATATTTTAACGCTATAATAAAGACTTAACCACATTTTTTGGCACTGTTTGAAGCAGTGTTCGCAAAATCGAATGGAACGGTTAAACGGTCAAGGGGCTGGGAGCGGTTTGAACTAGAACTAGACTAACTAGGGCAGTTAACCAGACTAACAGGTCAGGTAGATTTTTTTAAAAAAAGTTAGGTAAAAAATTTCGAAAAAAATTAAAAAAAATAGAAAAACTTAGAGTAAAGTGTATACTATCGTCTTACATACATTTATCTTACAAAAACAAAATTTGAAACAACTTTTTATAAAAATTAATATTTGAATACTATGAAGATATGCAATACAATTTATAATTTGACATTAATTCAATTATTGAAGTTACAATGTCCAACTAACAATGGCTAATAGTAATGAGAGTGGCGAGGGGGATCATAGTACTGTTGTGTTTCACTCTCAGGGGTTAGGGGGAAAAAAATTTAAGTAAGGCCTGGTGGAGTCTGTAATGCTGCAGTTGTGCCCCCCACCAGTCAGGAACATTCCCTGTGATACCCCTTTGGCCAAAGTGTCCTAGACTCGTCCAACTTTCATGCTCTCCCCCAGCTTGTTCTTTGTTACCCAAACCCTGTTCTGTGTAACTAACATTGTAACGGTAGCAGTAACACACTCTTTGTACCTAACAGTGGAAAAAAATTGTTCAAACACCATTTTCGATCAAAAAGAAAACAATACAATAAAAACAACAGTGATCATTACATGGTTGAGTTGAAAATCAAATTTGAGAACCTTGAAATTATTCGTATAAACCATAATTTATAATTACCAAATAGCATGTTTTTTCTAACAACTATATGTTAGATGATCGTAAGTTAGTAGTCATCAAACCCTAAGTTACCAAGGCCAATGAAGAACATATTTTTATAAAATTGCAACTAAGTTTCACAAAATTGCAACTTTAACATGAAAAAAATATTTCTTTTATTGAATGCAATCAATAATCTCAGTCAAATATTGTCTGAATAATCCTAAAAAAAACTGAAAAATTAGGAAACAAATTAAAAAAAATACAGTTTGGAACTTACTTTGTTTGATTCAAACTCAAAATAGAGCTCCAAATCTCTCCGTTACAATTAAATCACGAGTCTAGAAATCTAGATAGCTTTGTGATCATTAAAAGCCCCCAATGTTTATCTAAAACAAATGAAAAAGCACACCAAAATCCTTAGAATGGTGGATATTTCGTTGAAAAATCAAGAACACAAAATAACACCAATAAAGATGGCAAAAAATGACTTACTCTTG